TGGTGGGAGGCCTTTGACTTCCCCCTCCCCTTTAGCCAGACCTGGGCAATACCAGGCAAGTCTTCTACTATGTTATCTCCTGTTTTCTTAACTCCACTTAGCTTTAGATCATAGTTTTCTAATTGTACATTTATTCATGAGGTGACATCTCTGCTCACTGATGGCAATGAACCTGTTTCCTGTTGAATGGTCTTATTTGAATCTACTGATTGTCTTCTCCTTTTGTTCTTTCGTGATAGCCTCTCCTCCACCCTCTTGTCTGTCATGCCGCTAGCTAATCTGTATAAATAGGATCAGATGTATCACAGCAGACAGTTGGGTGGTCACACCTGGGGTCCTGCCAACTGCATGGGTTAACGTACTGAGGGGGGAAAACCCATAACCCAACCTGCACTTCTGTGGGAGGAAGATCAACACCTAAGGTTTGGTGTTGGACTCACCACTTAATATTTATTCAGGAAAGAAGTATTGGTCATAAAATTATCCTGCATCTTTAAAAAACCAATTGTAGTCTTTGACCCTATAATAGTGAGGTCAACAGCTTGCCTGCATGGGAAACAATGAGGCAGGAGGCTCAAAGCTCTGGTGTTTCAGGGCATATGATTAACTCTGACTGGAAGAGGTTAGGAAGAAAATTTCCCTAGGGCAAGGTTCTGTTATTGTTGTCCAGCGTGGGCGGTCTTGTTCCTTCCTCTGCAGCATTGGGTATTAGCTCCCGCTCAGCTAACACACAAGAGTAGGTGGACAAGTGCTGCTTCTACTGCAATTCCTCTGTTCCTGAAATTAAAGGGCACAATTAAACTTGCTATATTGTTGTATAGTAGTGTCTGTTCTAATTCTCTGACTTTTCCTTCGGCTTGTCTTTGCCTTGAATTCCTCAGCACTCCCCTACTGCTGCTAGTGCGACTGTTGAGTGAGAGCAGAGAAGTAGGCTTCAGGCTACGTCTGTCTCCACGCAAGGGCTTTTAGCGAGTACACCAGTGCTCACGTATCCTCTCTGCTGCTATTAAACCGTCGCAGAGGTTTGCCCCACTTTGGAGCCAGGGTATTCAGCATATTGCCCCTGTGTACAAATGCCTGGCTCCTACCCCAGGATGGTCTTTGTACAGAAATGCAACGGGGGGGTTCCACCAAAGGCTGTTGCTCGCCTAGCGTGTGAAGGGGAGACGGGGGCTGAGCACCAGAGGGGGGCTAAGCAGGGTAAGAAAGTGGGGCTCCTCCCCCTTCTCAAGCAGGCCTGGCTGGGCCTGACCCAGCAACGTGTGTTCCCTGGAACAGCTGCAGCAGAGCTCCTGCTCCCTCGAGCAGGTGCTGCAGCAAGGCGACGATAGAGTCGCACACCCCCAGCGGTGCAGAGCGCCCCACTCCGCCTCGCGCTCCCATCCTCTCTGTGGTTCGAGCCTCCTTCCTTCCTTCCGGTCCGGGTCCGGGTATCGCGCCTGCGCAGGAAGTGCCGCCTCCTTTGCGTCCAGGCCCGGCAGGAAGATGGTGAGTGTGGCGGAGGGGGGCCCGGCTCAATCCGCCGCCATCCGCCCCGCTGGCCGCCCCGACC